CCGCCAGCTGCCGCGTCCAGGTTTTTTTCCTGTTTTCCTTTTTCCCAGTTTTTTTCCTTGTTTTCTTCTTTTTTTTTCTTTTTGAATATAATTTACATGATTACTTGTGTAGTTGGGAATTCTTTTTCCCAGCAGCCAGTATTATTTTTTCGGTTTTTTTCTTTAATTTTTCTGTTGTTTGCTGTTCGCTATAGTTGAGCATTATTTTTTCTCTAGGAATTAACTGTTAATCAATTAGCTGTGTTGGGAATTAATTTTTTGAGAATCAATTAGCTGTTGCTAACCGTGATTAAGAAAAGAATCACAGAATAAGCTAGAGATGAGTTTGGGAAAATCTTATGTGATAATTTATATGTTTCTTTGTCTTATGATGTTGGCAAATAAGTTTGCGCCTCAATTTAGTGAGGCGGGCTCCTCGTTATGCGCCTTGCGCATGGTGCGCGTAATGGACCTTTGCGCCCCGCATTGCGCCTCGATAACACTGGATAAAAACAACATAAAAATGTTAAGGAATTTAATTCTCATCCTTATTCTCATATAAATTATTAATTCCAATATATAATATAGCCAAGTCCCCGTACCCTACCTTTTACAAGTTTTCTGTGTCCCATACACGTACCTGTCCGTGTACCCATAACCGTAGCCATGCAACATAGATGGAAACAGTTGGGAGTTTGGTCAAAAAATTCGGAACCACAGTAAATGATTATCAGTTAGCTGGCAAAAGATTTGGGACAAAAGCTTTGCCCCCGTTAAGCAGAATGATTAATTGGAATTACTTATAGATTTTAATTCAAGATTGGGTTGAAAGTGGTACTAACACAGCAGTCATTGGATCTTTAGCCATGAATGACAGGTTTTCATGAATTAAATGTGAGAGGCAAGTTAGCACTATATTTACGTTCACTAGATTGTGTGAAACTCAAATTGTTGCTCCAGTTTGATATCACCCCTTGGAAAAAAGCGTTTATCTAAAAAAGTAAAGAAAAAATATTTAATAGATATACCATTGTTGGATATAAATTACAGTAGTAGGATAGGACCGTGCAAATCCACCCTCAGTCATGCTAGGAATGAAGCTGATATCTTTAGTAGATCTCCTAAGTAACAGTTCAATTTTTCATCCAGCAAACAGTAAATGCACTGTACACTAGCATGTTCTGCTGTCTACTATGATTTCAGTGTTAATGCATAACAAGGCCTGAAAATTTTCTGGTAAGATGTGGACAATGGCTAATTTCTTTGTTTAGGGATATGTTCCATAATGCATACCTAGAATACAAGATATATATTAAGCTTGAAATGTTAATATTTATTACTTAGGATCTACTGGTGCACATACATTAACATATATTTAATAACATATTGTAACATATAATAGTGTAAGGACTTTATTTCTTTCTCTTTTTCACATATTAAATTATGCAAGAACTTCAGGAGGAATGCCAAAAATCTATTTCATGATATACAAATACTGTGAGCAATCAGTTGCTATGTCAAGTATTTAAAAAAAGTCCTCTCCTTACTATGAGGAAGTAAATATATATTTCTAAGAAAGTAACACTTCCAAAACCAGGTAACCATGTCAAATATTGCCAATGCTTCTGCCAAATCTGACCAACTATGACCACCATTAAAGAATAACATCATTAAAATATATTGTAACATCAGACTTGCATCAAGAGTTGAGTGCTTGAATGGAAACAAATAGGAGAGAGCTAACCAGGACAAGTAATAACTTTGTTGAAATTCATAAAAGAACATACTCATCAAGAAAAAAACCACCATCAGCAAGGCATTTTACATCAGCCTCCTTTGGCATAAGTGCACGAAAACTGTCACAATGTATGAAAGTCGCAAGACCACCAGCAGAGCACCCTGTAAGAAAAGCCTACAAACAGAAAACTGCATTAAGATTGATACTTACACAAATTAGCATTTACATGTAATGAATTAGGAATTTCACACAATTTAAAAGTTTCATGACTAAGTGAACCCAGTCACCAAACAAAAGACAGCACAGAACAGGTTCTTCGAAATAAAAATTTTAGGTTATTAACTTGTTACAGGTATATCACAAAACAAGTAAACATTTATATGGAAAATTTGATGTCCAAACAATTAGACTCTGCTCCGCAACCACTTAATACCTCTTTAAGGAAAGGTGCAAGTCAAAGTTAGCCTGATTGATCTCATTAAGCGTGAGCACCATGCCCCGATTATTGTTTAATTTCATATGTCACCATAATCATAAAACTGTTCTGTTTCAAATTTCTTAAATGATTTTCTAATGTAAACATCTGCTAGACATACACCATAACGATAACCACATTGATGGCCTAGGTAGCATGTTACATCATGAATGACAAAAACCACTATAAATATATAATTTTTAACTTAGGAAAAAGATGGAATAATCTCTTTGAGACTATGACTTATGTATGGAATAATCCCTTAGAGACGATGACTTGTGTAAAATGCTACCAGAAAATACGATTTTGTTTCATGCATTCCGCAGAGAATTTTAAAAATGGGGGAGCATATGCTTCAGAACATATATTTGTGTTCGACTCAGTTCAAATGTGATATTGAAAATGAGAAAATATAGCTAGTCATGAAAAGTGGAAACCACCAGGTCCACCACAACATGTTTTGCTCGAATAGAAGCTAGCATCAGATTTTATCGATGGATGTCATGATGATATAAGCATATATAATATCACATAAAAGAACTACACCATGATTTTGAAGAAATGACCTGCTTTGCCTTTCCAAGTCCTTCTGCTAATAGTTCACCCATAATTACTTCCCAAATCCGCTGGCCTCTGAAGAAGAGTTTTCTTCCACTCTGTGCAACATGGAACACAGAGTTTAGTTCTGAACAATTTGCCTTTTCTAACTAAAGCTAGCTATATAAGCATCTGCAAAATGAACCACCAATTATAATAATTTAGAGGACAGCAATCATCCCATTGTATGTACCTTAGGTTGAATTTCCGTGTCCCCAGAAAATGATGCACCATCACAATACAGTATCTTGACTCTGTTCCAATTATAGAAGTCTGAAGACATATAACATGGGAATTAGAACATGATTACTCTAAGAACTCAAGCACAATATCTCACAGTGGTTAAATTATAAACCCTTCCTCTGCTTACTAATACTATGTTCTTTTGAACTATGACAAATACTTGGAATATAAATATTTAAGCATTAATGAGGTCCAACATTAAATTCTAGCAGAGAATCCTAGTAATTTTTATCTTCTGTAGTGAAGTTGTACCCATGCACTACACTGCTTTCTTTTAATATGTTTAAAGAAAGTTTCTCTATGTGCATGCATATCACAATGTAGCATGGGCACTTCTGTAGTGAAGTTGTACCCATGTACTACATGTTAGGATTCACCCCAATAATAAAGCCTCGAACGAAGACTTAATCACAAAATAAAGGCACAAAATTCAACACAGAGTACTCACAGATATACGTGGTTCACTCCTTCGGAGCTACTTCACGGTGCAACGACGACGCCAAATTCTTTTATATCCCAAAAGAATTGATCCAAGAGAACACCCTCTCTTGATCAGATACACTCCAAGAACTCTCACAAACTCTCTCTTTGTTTTCTCTTACTCTTCTATAAGAGGAGTTGTTTCTGGGATGAGATTTCCTATTTTGTGCCTTTATTTTGTGATTAAGTCTCCGTTCGAGGCTTTATTATTGGGGTGAATCCTAACAACTTGTATCAATCTCCCGCTACCTTTTCTCATTTTTCAAACAAAGTTGGCCACCAACTTTGATTTGTCAAAATAGGTGGGCTGTGCTTTCGGCTAACAATCTCCCACTTGAAGATTTGATTGAATGTCAATCATATCTTCACACCACTCTTGGTTGCATCATCCGGATGTCTTGTATCTTTGGCGTCTTGCACGGCCTTCAACATTCTCAACGGAGGTCATATGAGGCTGCACACAGCCTCACCTTCTCGAACGGAACTGGCTTGGTCAGCATATCGGCTGGATTGTACCTCGTATCAATCTTCACAAGCTTGAACTCGTTCCTGCTTTGCCATCTCCGTATGACATGGTGCTTCACGTCAACATGCTTGGTCCGAGCATGGAATGCGTCGTTCTCTGACAAGTGAATGGCACTCTGGCTGTCGCAGTGGATGAAGTATTTCTCAAAGCTTACTCCAAGCTCGAGAAGAAAAGCCTTCAACCATAGCAACTCCTTTGTTGTCTCTGTTACAGACACGTACTCGACTTCGGTTGTCGACAAAGCCACAGTATCCTGTAACTTGGATCTCTAACTTATCGCTCCACCACCCAAGATGAAGATGTAGCCGCTCAGTGGTCCTTCTTGAATCTATATCCCCTGCATAGTCTGCATCACAAAAGCCCTCTAGCTGCAAATCTGCCCCGCCATACTCAAGACAACGGTCGGACGAGCTTCTCAAGTAGCGTAGAAGCCACTTGACCGCACCCCAGTGTTGTTTCCATGGATTGCTCATAAAGCGGCTCACAAATCCCACTCCTTGTGAAATATCTGGCCTCGTGCACACCATCGCATACATCAAACTCCCGACGACAGATGCATATGGTATGTTTGCCATGAACTCATGCTCTTCAGCAGTCTCTGGTGCTTGGGTCTTCGATAGCTTGAAATGACTTGCAAATGGCGAGCCCACCGGTTTAGCTTTCTTCATGCCAAACTTTTCAAGAATCTTCTCAATGTAGGCCTTCTGAGACAACCTCAGCCCCCCGTGCTGATCTGTCTCTGATGATCCTCATCCCCAGAATCTGGTTTGCTGGACCCAGATCCTTCATCTCGAAGCACTCGGAGAGACGCTCCTTGAGTTCCTCAATGCGGGCCAAGTCGGGCCCTGCAATCAACATGTCATCAACATAAATCAAGAGTATTACATAGGATTCGTCATATCTCTTGATGAAGCAGCAGTGGTCTGTGTCACATTTGAGAAAACCGTTCTCCTCCATAAAGTTTTCGAACTTCATGTACCACTGTCGCGGAGGTTGCTTCAGACCATACAAGCTCTTGCATAGGCGACATACGAGGCCCTCCCTGCCTCGTTCCTCGAAGCCCACTGGTTGATGCATATAGATTTCTTCCTCCATATCTCCATGAAGGAATGTCGTCTTCACATCCATCTGTTCTAGGTGGAGATCTTGAACTGCTACAATGCTCAGCATAGTTCGGATCGTGGTCAACTTGACGACGGGAGCGAAAAGGAGATCTTGAACTGCTACAATGCTCAGCATAGTTCGGATCGTGGTCAACTTGACGACGGGAGCGAAAACGTCAGAATAATCAATCCCTGCTTTCTGTTCATAGCCCTTCACTACAAGCCTCGCCTTGTAGCGTCTCCGTCCATCGGCTTCATACTTGACCCGATAAATCCACCGATTGTGAAGAGCCTTTTGCCCTCGTGGAAGCTTTACAAGCTCCCAAGTCTCATTCTTCATCAAGAACTTCATTTCTTCCTCCATGGCAGACTCCCACTCGCCGCGAGCTTTGCCGGTCTGCTGTACCTCCTCATAGCTCTCTGGCTCATCATTATCAGTCAGGAGAAGGTAATTCATTGTGGAAAGGTACCTCTCTGGCACCCTTGGATTTTTTGGAGTTTTGCAAATTGCGATCGGCAACTCTGCTGGATCCTACTGCTGTGCATCCCGCATGTTCTCTTGGTCTCTGTCTTCTATGCTGATTGGTATCTCACCGCCGTCCTCACTGTCAGCAATATCTGAAAAAAGAGGGGGAGATAGCTGACTCTCACTCACCTCTTTGGTCTTGTACATCGCATTCTCATGGAATACGACGTCACGACTGCGCACCACCTTACGCGCTTCGTGATCCCAGAAACGGTACTCATACTCATCTCCTCCATAGCCGATGAAAGAGAGCTTCTTTGACTTTGGATTAAACTTTGACCGGTCTGCAGAATTGGTCATGACATAGGCGTCACAACCAAATACTCGTAAGTGCTCTAGCTTCAGCTTCTTTCCGATCCAAGCCTCTTCAGGTATCCCATAATTGAGAGCCGCGGATGGCCCACGGTTGATCAAGTATATAGCAGTATTGACAGCTTCAGCCCAAAAGCTCTTGGCCAATCCGGAGTGGATCCTCATACTTCTAGCGCGCTCGAAGATAGTGCGATTCATGCGCTCCGCCACTCCGTTGTGCTGTGTGTCTGGGACGGTCTTCAGTCTCCGAATCCCACGGGACGAGCAGAAGTTCTCGAACTCCTGGCTGCAATACTCGCCTCTATTATCAGACTTTAGGCACTTCAGCTTATTGCCTGTTTCGTTCTCCACACAGACAAGCCACTTCTTGAAGATGATGAATACATCCGACTTGTGCTTCAAGAAGAACACCCACAATTTTCTCGTAGCATCATCAATAAAAGTGACAAAGTAAAGAGAGTTACCAACAGATGGGACTTGCGCAGGTCTTCACACGTCGGTGTGCACCAACTCTAATTTCTACAGTTTTGGAGCCGGTCCGGTCTTGTTGAAGCTCACCCGGTGTGCACCAACTCTAATTTCTACAGTTTTGGAGCCGGTCCGGTCTTGTTGAAGCTCACCTTCTTTTGTTTATCTAGGATGCAGTCCTCATAGAAAGTCAGATCGATCTTGTTCAGACCCGGAAGCCTCTCTCCCGCGGCCATAATCTGCATCCCCTTCTCGCTCATGTGGTCAAGTCGTCGATGCCAAGTCATGCAGTCGACGGATGATGATGATGATGCTTGTCCTGCGGCAAGTAAGTGGTCGATCTTCCCGTTGGCGATGTAGAGAGACCCCTCGCGTTTGCCGTGTGCCACCACCAGGGCACCCTTGGACACCTTCCAGCTTCTCTGCTCGAAGGATACTCTGTAACCGGAGTCAGTCAGTTGCCCGACTGATATAAGATTTCGCCTGAGATCTGGTACATGCCGAACATCATTCAGCGTCAAGGTGGTCCCGCCCTCCATCTTGAGGGTACAATTTCCCTTTTCGGAAACCTTACAAGGTTGATCGTCGCCAAGATAGACTGTCCCCAAGTCCTTCTTCACGAACGATGAAAGCAGCTTTTGTTGTGAGGTTGCATGAAAAAATACGCCAGAGTCGATGACCCACGCATCACTTTTGTCTTCTAGGGATAGGAGAAGTGCATCCGAATCCGTCTCGTGCATGAGATTGGCTGCACCGTCAGCCCGATCATCCCCTGCTGATGCTTGAACAGTAACTCTGCAGTCCCGTGCCAAGTGGCCCTTCTTTCCGCATCTGAAGCACTTCCCTTCACCGTAACCATTCGGGTTAGGCCCTTTAGACTTCCCTCTGGATTTTGATTGGCCTCGTCGTCCCCTACCCTTCTTCTGTGCACGCCCTCGTGCCTCGACATGCAGAGCACTCCCACTGCTAGAGGCCTCAGCTCCTGAGACATTGCGGCGAGATTCTTCATCCAGAATTACCTCAACCACTGTGTCGAGCTTCATCTTGTCATTGCCATTAGCGTTGCTCACCGTCATTACCATATTCTCCCATAAATCTGGTAGACAAGAAAGTAGCAAAAGAGCTTGGATCTCGTTGTCGAACTTTAGATCTACTGCAGCAAGCTGTTGCACCACAGCCTAAAATTCGTTCAAGAAGTCCGCCACGCGAGCTCCTTGCTGCATCTTGAGATTGAATAGCTTCTTCATCAAGTACACCTTATTTGAAGCAGACGGCTTCTCATACAGCGCCTCCAAGGCCTCCATCAACTCCTTGGTGGTGGTCGCATGCGAGACGTTGTAAGTCACATGCTGGTGAAGGTTGAGCCTGATGGTGGCAAGTGTTTTACGATTGAGCACCTTCCACTTATCGTCGTCCATCTTCTCAGGTTTCTCCGCCTCTCCTTGGAGGGGTAGGAAGAGATCCTTCTGGTACAAATAGTCTTCTATTTGCATCCTCCAATACCTGAAATTTTGGCCGCCGAACTTCTCAATTCGAAGTCTGTTGTCTTCAATTGTAGATCTCATGGCGAAAGATTACGTCTTTCCCGTATTTGTGAATAGTACAGTATTCGTGAATAGTACTGTATTCGTGAATAGTATCGTATCCGTGAATAGTACTGTATCCGTGAATAGTGTCGTACACGTGAATAGTGCCTAATGCCTTAAAAGAGTAAATATTAATCTAACTTATTTTCTGATGTGGAGGATCCAATTTTAGTGGCAGCTACAGAGCATACGATAAGCAGATATATATACTCTAAGTCAGACTCTGATACCAGTTGTTAGGATTCACCCCAATAATAAAGCCTCGAACGAAGACTTAATCACAAAATAAAGGCACAAAATTCAACACAGAGTACTCACAGATATACGTGGTTCACTCTTTCGGAGCTACTCCATGGTGCAACGACGACGCCAAATTCTTTTATATCCCAAAAGAATTGATCCAAGAGAACACCCTCTCTTGATCAGATACACTCCAAGAACTCTCACAAACTCTTTCTTTGTTTTATCTTACTCTTCTATAAGAGGAGTTGTTTTTGGGATGAGATTTCCTTAAGAGTTTAGGACCCTATTTATAGTGTTTGAGAAACACTATGCACAAATAAAATATATTAGTGGGACCCGCCACTAATAATAAATAATTATGGGACCCACTACCTTTTCTTATTTTTCAAACAAAGTTGGCCACCAACTTTGATTTGTCAAAATAGGTGGGCTGTGTTTTCGGCTAACACTACAGTCCATATTTGGATACTTCTTGGACATATGCATACACTTATTCGAACGAGTATTCAATTATATAATACATGTTTTAATTTAAAACACTCATAATACACTTTGTCGACGTATATTCTACACTTCACATACACTTCTTAGTCTACTTTATTCAAATACATATTTGAGATATCTATGTAATCATTATATGACACATTATTAGAAATAAGTGTTCAGACACCTTTGTGCATGAAAATTTGTATATATGCATGTATGCAAATTCTCTTCATTATTTGATTATTACAATATGCATACATGTAAACATGCATATGTACATATATATTACACGCACATATCCTAATATCATATCGCTATGTTACCACGTCTTACTTTTTCCACAATTGGGGTTTCCAAAGTCCTGTCCATGCTACTTAGTGCCTGTGTTCCACTAAAAGACAAAGTTCTTAATTTTTTCACTAATCTCATATTTTTTCACTCCTATAGCTATTTACCGTACAAATGTAACAGACTATTACCTACCTAATCCCTAACAACAAGCACAAAGAACACAATTTCCTCAGTTTCCAAAACTGCATGGATTTTGTGAATATACAGTAGGCATCTATATAGACAACACAAAAGTAGATTAGAAGACATTTGACTCCTATGAGAACAATAAATAAAGAGAAGAAAGATGAGTTTAACAAAATCTTGCATACTTAACCAAAGAATTCTCGCCATTACACATACCAGGGTTTTCAGATGCTGTTTGGCTTAAAATGCCAACAAAGGAAGCTTGCAGATCCATGTAGTGTGAAGACCCGAGATGTGTTCCTTGGCGAAAAGAACATGAATCCATGCTGTTGCACCAACCTCCACCCTAAAGCTTGAGGAATGCAATTAAAGTGAGCAAAACCTTAACTAATAACCTTCCTAATCACCTATAAAATATATGCTAATGATACAAAACACAAATTGAAATATGTCCTCTAACAAGCGGACAGCAGAGAGTATTGATTTGTATATAGTGAAAATAAATAAACTTATACCCAAAAGTGTGAGGGAAAAAAAGTCATCCGGACTAAGCAAATAATAGAAGGCTGAGAGAAGTGAGAAAATTATCAACATCAGAATCCTGGAGAAAGGACTTACCATTCTTGATTTTGGAATTCTAACTTTTGGGCAATTCATCTGGATTTTGACCTTCCCTGCAATTTACCTTTGGAATCTTTTCATTTACTGGTTTGATTTCTTTGGAAACTGAACTAGTTTTGTCCATTCTCTTGGACACAGAATTATGGGACAAGTGAGGTGCTTCCTTCTTTGATCATTAAATTTGGATAGTAGTCCCAATAAAACAAACAGAAATGATGCATGGTCGCATTTCATTTTGGTTCCAAAAGGAACGCTCACTTTTAGATATCTAGAAATTATTTGCAAAAATAAGATTGAAATCTATTCTTCTTTTATTAATGATGGAAGTGTTAATTGTTCTTTGGGACCACAAAGTTTCACCCATTTTGAGCTTTGATATTCCAAAGTTTATTTTTATTCATTTTATACCTCAATGTTTCACCCATGTTGAACTTTGATTTCCAAAGTTTGTTTTTGCACATTTGATACCCCCAATGTTTAAGAAATTTGAACTTTGCTACCCTCCATTTGGGGAGTTTCTTTTATTTTTCTGTTAAACTCAGATCACCTGCTTAACATGTAACCTAATTTGAACTTTGATACCCCTGAAGTAATTGTAAACGCCCTTAAAATGAGTGGTAATTGGCAGAGTCTGCTGTAGCAGATTTGTCTTGGATGTAACTTTCTCATTTATTTCAGGAACATTTATAACGATTACATGGGTACCGAAGTCAAAATTAAATCATGTATTAAACATGTTATTTGAATCTAACAGAAAAATAAAAGACTTATATTGGTCCCCCAAATCTCACTTATTTTTAAATAAGTCCCCTAAAACTCAAATAATTTAACTAAGTTCTCCAAATCTATAAGTATTCTTAAATAAGTCCCTCACATCTCATACATTTTAATTAAGTCCCCCAAATCTATAAGCTCCCTTAAATAAGTCCCTCCAAGTTAAAAATGGTTAACTCTAAATTAACCAAACTAGAGTAATCCTATTAGTTTTCCCCTCATCTTGCTCAGATAGTTGCTCATAATACCCGCAACAGAGTAAAATAGAGACTCCTCAACAATGGCAAGCAGGGGAAGACATACATGGAAGAGCTCCGAATGGAACATATAAAGAAAGAGGAGGGCGAAAAAAAATGCAAGATTAACGGAATTTAGTTAACATCGAGTTAAACTTATACTTATTAAGGCTTATTTAAGAGAACTTATAGATTTGAGGACTTATTTAAAATATATAAGATTTGGGGGACTTATTTAACAATATACTTATAGATCTGGGGGACTTATTCAAAATATTTAAGTTTGGGCGACTTATTTAGAAATAAGTGAGATTTGGGGACCAAGATACGAGAAACTCAAAATGAAAAGGTCCCCAGAGCATTGCCAGTGGAAAAAAGTTAACTTTGGGATACCAAACAGGCAAAAAAATAAATTTGGGATATTAAACGTGCGAAAGTAAACTTTTGGAGTACAAAAGTCCAGAATAGGTGAAATTTTCTGGGCTACCAAAGTGCAATCCAATAATGAGAAAATATCTCCCTGACAGTTTTATCACCTGAACTAACTTAGAATCTGAAAATTCTTTCACCCTCAAAAAACCATCAAAAGCTGTAAACAAAAATCAAGAGATTTTGATTACACCTCCAGATGGAGGAGCCAATTATCGGTCCCAGATCCGAAACCTCTCTGCAGATGGTACCCCGGCCTGCTCCCATCTAAACAAACTACAACAACATCCAAAACCAACAAATCACTTCACCAAACCCTAATTTTTAAGGGGGGGAATAAACTAAACAAACGAAGAAGTAATCAAATCGTACCTGCTCCTTCCTCGGCGGCGTTCTTGACGAGCGTGAGATCGACGAGATTGGGCTCCAAAGGCCCCAAAGGCTGCGGCTTTGTGAAGATCCAAGACGCTAGCGTCACAGTGAGAAGAGCGACGAAGAGAATGGCACCGGATGC